ATAGTAAAATTAGCATTTGTGCAATGTAGTACTATAAATTCTACACCCAACTTTCCCGAATAAAATATCTATCATTCTTTTTATTGTAGAATTTTCCGTTGTTACAAAGAAAGTGTGTTATTACTACCATAAAATGTATAGTGTTACTTCAAAGAATTTCGAGAACTACATTGCCTCAGTAGCTTAATTGCATAGCAGGAAGAAGCGTGACATTACAATGAAAGATTACAATGGCAGCAAGTTTAGATAAGTACATGTACGTGCAAAAGTACATACATAGACAGCTCATTGTATAATTACAGCCTCTCTGATGTGGTTTCAGTCTCATTTAGCATAGCAACTTGTTTATCATTCGCTGCCTCTCTTAAGGCAGTGAGTAAAATATAGTAACAAGAGTAATCAAGAAAAAAAAATACTAACTATGTGTATGTCATATGTCACTCATATGTCACTCTATTTGCATGTACTTATACTCACTCCCCTCTCTCTTAATCTTGTCTTAATATGTTGATGATGTAATGATGCATAACAGAGTATTACATGTACATGTTGACTTACCGTGCTTCCGAGAGCAATAATCCCTGACACCACCTGTGTACATGTATGTGTGCATAATGAGCAAATGAAACATCATAAATGTACTTATGACAACTTTAGAGTAAGTAGGAGTAGTGACAAGTTGAGAGAAAGGAAAGAGAGGGAGGAGGGTAAGGGAAGAACATCTTACAGTATAGAAAAATGTAAACTGGCCATGGAGTCTCTAATCACACACGCATTGCTTTCAATTATGTAATATATCTCAATCACTCATTCCACTACTTAATTGCCCCTCCTTACCATGTTCATATTTGTTGCTGAATGGAGATCTTCAGTTTCAAAGAGACAGTCCTTAGAGACGCCATATTCCAAACAAGCTTTAAGAAAGTGATCGATTAGATCCCTCTGTATTGAATAGAAATATCAAAGTATGAAAATCAAAGTTGTTTGTGATATGCCAACTCATTATGTCATTGTGGCCCAAAGCATACAAAGAGGAATGAAGATTCACATGCCATAGGGATTCATCTAGTTATTATACATGCAAGCATTTTTTTTAAATTGTATGATATGCAGTACATTTGGTAGTCATTATTTGTACAGAACTTAAAACAAACTGAAGGCTTTGGGAAAATAAAAAAAATCCACTCTAAAAACTATACACAATTTATATGTGATGCCAAGACCCATAGAATCAGAAACATTTTGATAACTATAATGACATGTATATACACGTTTAATCAACACTGCATTGTTAATGTGTATAGTACCTCTTGAAAAGGGTTCCTTGGCTTGACTAGCCGTAGCCCTGGTAATGCTGGAGGGTGGAGTGCTTTGATTAGCCTACACAGTTAATGTGAGAAGAACATTAGACATTTAATAAGGTATGACTGATTGTGTTTGCCTTTGAAATCACCAGCTCCTATTACTACTATGTACACAAAATAATTATAATCAAAATTCTTCTCTCTCTCTCTTCTTTTTCTCCTTCTCTTTATATCTCTCACAGTCCACTTCTCTTTTAATCACTTCTAATTTGTCTCTTAAAATTCTTTCTCTCATATATTTCTGCATTTTTTATGGTCTCAATGTCTCTGCCTCTGTCCGTTTCAATATAACTTACTTGCATAAATAGATCCCGTTGTGTAAAGCAAGGTAGAACTCCTTCCCAGGGAAGTCTCTCTCAATCTCGTCCAGTTCCTCGGGACTGCACTCGGGGAATGGCTCACCAGTGATTGCCTCCATCCACATCCTACACTCCAGCTCCAACTCCACATCATACATCTGCTCGAGCTATACAATGTGTGAAGTATATATATAATAATTAATGGAGAGAAATCGTAGAGATGGGATACAGATCACACTTAGTTCAGGATAAGTACATGCACATGCGTATTATAACTTGTTCATTTGCTAAATCTTGACTATGTTAAATAGAGAAAATACTAGCTCAATTACTATTTCAATGGCATCGTTTTCAAAACAGAAACACTATCAGAAAAGTTGATGTTTTAAAAATAATATTTTTCCCACCAAGTAGAGGCATGCTTCTCACCTTTTGCTGTACTTCCGCGTTTATTCCTGCCTTCTCAGCCCTGAATTGAGCCATCTCTCTCCTCGCTTACTTACACCAGCCCTTGGCCTCTCTCAACCTCTATTTCCTTGCTTCGATGGTTTGCAATGAAATTATCTTAGCAGCTCCTCCCATCTGAGCCGTTTCTCCACCCACGTATAATTACGCCTACGCGCACATGTATCTCCATAGCGACGCACTTGCAAATCTCAGGGGAGGGGCTGGCTGGATTTCCATAGTGCGTCTGTGTTTGGATTTGTAGAGGGAGTAATGGACACAAGAACCAAAGCAGCAATACTTTACCTGCTGGTTGGATGCTGGCTTTCTTTCTCGGTAGCTCAAAGTGAGTCCTTTGCTTGCAATATTTGAGCATAATTTGTTCTACAAATATTGTTTATTTATTTCTGGGCCAGTTTGTTGTGGATGAGTGGTTTTCTGCTATTAGTGTTACTATTAATTGTGCAATGGGATTTTCCATCATACAATGTGTGTATAAAAAGGATCCATATATTGCAATGTCCTTTTGAGGTTGCAGCTATGAGTTGTAACTTTGAATCCATTTTCAATAGTTTCAGCTGTACTACTTTATGTTATGTATCGAACAATCAATATTTTACTATTTTACATTTAGTGGCATGGCTACACTTGATTTGCTCCTTCTTAATTTATTTACAACTAAATGTGTGTTCTTATTATTATTGTTATGAATTCCCATTCATTGTGTGTGGCACTAAAGTTAATTGCATTCATAGTGCATGTATTAAATCTATTTCTCTCTATTTAGACTTATGCTTTGTTAATACTTGCTCCAATAATGGTACTTGCTATATTGAAAATGGATCTGACGTGTGTATGTGCCCTCCTTCCTATACTGGAATGACGTGTGAGATTGAAGTGGTGAGTGGCTGTCAAAGTACGACTTGTAAAAATGGAGGCACTTGCAACGATGAAGATGGAGTGGTAAGATGTGACTGTTTGCCTATTTTTACTGGTCAATTCTGTGATTCGTTGCTCAATGGCTGCGACAGTAATCCTTGCTTTAATGAGGCAACTTGTAGCAACTTCTTTGGTGCATTTGTCTGTTCGTGTCCACCTGGCTTTACTGGCAGACAGTGTGAGACTGATAATAATGATTGTGCATCTAATCCTTGTGCTGATGGAGGCACCTGCATAGATGAAGTGAACGGCTATACCTGTGAGTGTCCGCCTGGTTTCACTGGTTCCAACTGTAGCATCAATATTGATGACTGCCGAGGCTCTGATGTTGAATGTCATAACGATGGAGAATGTCTTGATTTAGTTGATGATTACTACTGCGATTGCACGGAAGAATTTGGTGGAAGAAACTGTGAGATAGAATCTGACTGTCCACTTGATAACCTCACACAATGTGAAAATAATGGATTCTGTCATCGAAACACATCCTCTTGCTCCTGCATAACTGGTTATACTGGTACCTATTGTGAAACAGAGCTTAACGAATGCGACTCAAACCCCTGCAATAATGGAACCTGTGTGGATAAAATTGGTTCATTTTCATGCAATTGTTTTCCAGGATACACTGGCCAGCAATGCGAGGAGGTCATTGATATGTGTCAACCCCAGCCTTGTTATAACGGAGCAATGTGTGTCTCATCTATCAATGGTTTTGACTGCTTCTGTCGTCAGGGCTACACCGGGCAGTTCTGTCAAGTTGATATAGATGAATGCCTTAGCTCCCCATGTCAAAATGGGGGCAACTGCACTGAGATGGTCAATGGCTTCTCCTGTGGTTGTCTCCCTGGATATTCTGGGACTCAGTGTGAAATTGACTCTTGCTCATCCCAACCTTGTCAAAATGATGGAACTTGCATTGCAAACGGTTTGACGTATTCCTGTGTTTGCTCTTTGGATTACACAGATGAGAACTGTACTACATTTATAACCCCGTGCTACTTTGAGCCTTGCCTTAATGGAGCTACCTGCATCAATGAAGACTTGGATAACTACACGTGCTCATGTCTACCTGGCTTCACTGAGGAAGACTGCAGTGTCAATATTGATGATTGTGGGAGCAACCCTTGCCAAAATGAAGGCACTTGTATTGACCTGGTCAATGATTATCAGTGTGATTGCAGTGCAGGTTATACCGGCAGTGATTGTCAAACTGATATTGATGAATGTCTAATGACTCCTTGCTTTAATAATGGCACATGCACTGATCTGGTTAACAGTGTCAGCTGTGAGTGTCCTCCTGGTTTCAATGGCTCCTTATGCCAAAACAACATCAACGAGTGCTCATCTTCACCTTGTTCATCAGGTTCAACCTGCATTGATGAGATTGATGACTTCACATGCTTATGCCCAATGGGTTTAACAGGCACACAGTGTGATATTAGTATCATAGACTGCTCCGACATGCCTTGTGGTAATAATGGAACTTGTACTGATACTCCTGGAGGCTATGAGTGTAGCTGCTCTTCTGGATACACTGGAGTCCATTGCATGGTAAATATCAATGACTGCTTACCTCATCCTTGCAACAATGGTACATGCATAGACGGTATTAATGAGTATGTATGTATATGTCCTGAGGATTATACTGGAGATAACTGCGAAACACCCATTGATCATTGCGACTCTAATCCCTGCTCATCTCTAGCTACATGCATCACTAATCCTGGAGGCTATCAATGCATTTGCCCCATTGATTTCACTGGCACTGACTGCTTTGATCAAATTAATGATTGTCAGCCCAACCCATGCAACAATGGTGGAACTTGCTCTGACTTGATTGGAACTTTTAATTGTAGTTGTCCCCTTGGTTTTGAAGGCTCAATCTGTGAGTATGACATCAACGAGTGTGCGTCCCTTCCTTGTCTCAATGGAGGAAACTGCACCGACCTAGTAAACGGATACTCCTGCTCCTGTCCTCATGGATTCAACGGAACCAACTGTGAGAATAGCACCATCACTACATGTGAAAGCGTTGTGTGTGAAAATGGTGGAATGTGCGATGATACACCGACTGGATTTGAATGCCTCTGTCCTAATGGATACACTGGGCCGTACTGTCAGAATAATATCGACGACTGCTTATCGAATCCTTGCCTGAACAATGCCACTTGCATAGATGAGATTGCTAATTACACATGCGAGTGTACCGAAGGCTTTGACGGTCGTAATTGTGCTATAGACACTGACCTTTGTTCTCCTCAGCCTTGCTTCAATGGCGGAACGTGCTCTGAAACTTCTGACTCATTCTTTTGTACTTGTCCTCTTGGTTATTTTGGTTCGCACTGTCAAAACACTCTCGATCCTTGCTCTAGCAGTCCATGCCTCAATAGTGGAATATGTACTAATGTTAATGGAACTAATTTCAGTTGTGCTTGTAGTCAAGCATATGGAGGGGAAAGGTGTGAAATCAAGCTTTTCCCCGATTGTTTAGACATGCCTTGTCTTAATAATGGGACCTGTGCTGAGCTGGTGGGGTCTGGAAATATTGGCGGGTCGGGGGCCGGGGAGCCTGGTCCGAGAATTTACTGTCAATGTCCATTGGGTTACGCTGGGGAGTTCTGTGAAAATATAACTGACCTTTGTGTTTCATCTCCTTGTAAGAACAATGCTACGTGTATAGGAGACTCTGCTAACTTTACATGCACATGTTTGCCCGGTTTTACTGGGACGCTATGTGAGACAGAGCTCACTGGTTGTCACACGGAGTTATACCCTTGCTTAAACGGAGGAGAGTGCATGGAGATGGACGGACAGTTCATGTGTAATTGTGCTCCTGGTTTTACTGGCCCTCTCTGTGGCTATGGAATCAACGAGTGTAGGAACCAGCCTTGTCTTAATGGAGGGACCTGCAGGGACTTTTTCCGATATTACGTTTGTATTTGCCCACCGAATTTCACCGGAACTGATTGCGAAAGCATGATAGACCCTTGTACTAACATTGATTGTAACAATGGCTCTTGCATTGGTGATATGGGTACCTATACGTGTCAGTGTGATCCAGGCTGGACAGGACTACAATGTGAATCAGAGATTAATGAATGCGATGGTGTGGACTGTACTAATGGTACGTGTGTAGACTTAATCAATAACTACACTTGTCAATGTTCTGATGGTTTCACTGGCCAGTTCTGTGAGATTAACATAGACGATTGTGCTGGTATTAACTGCAATAATGGTACTTGTGTTGATGGTATAGGCAGCTATCAATGTGACTGTTTATTGGGATACACAGGCCCTAGCTGTGATACAATCATTGATGATTGTGCTGGTATGCCCTGTATGAATAATGCCTCCTGCATTGATCTATTTAATAATTACACGTGTGTCTGTTCCGATGGATTTACTGGACGATTCTGTGAAGTTAACATTGACGATTGTTTAAACATTAATTGCAATAACGGAAGTTGTGAAGACCTCATCAATGATCATATGTGTAATTGTTTTCCTGGTTTTACCGATCAGCGTTGTGAGACTGATATCAATGAGTGTGATGGTAATCCATGCAATGATGGCACCTGTACTGATGGCATTAATAGCTTTAGCTGCTCATGTCCACCAGATTATACTGGGGATACTTGTGACACTGAAATTAATTTATGCTTAATGGAGCAACCCTGTCTTAATAATGGGACTTGTACTTCAGATAAAATAGAGGGAATCCCAATCTATAATTGTAGTTGTTCAGTGCCCCTTTACAGTGGAGATAACTGTGAGCAGATAAACTCTTGTTCACTCTCTCCTTGTCAGAATAATGCCACCTGTACTGGTAACCTCACCACTGGAGATTACACTTGTCATTGTAGTGAGAACTATTATGGCACTCACTGTGAGAGATTCGACTATTGCCACTCTAATCCCTGTCAGAATGATGGTACTTGTATTAATGGCAGTCCTGGTAATCTTATATCAGATACGTTCCTCTGCATATGCATGCCTCAGTTCAATGGATCTGATTGCAGTATGGAACTGTCTCCTTGCTCCATTGATCCTTGTATGAACGGAGGGACGTGTGTGGAAGATGGTAGCACTCGTTACTGTCAATGTCCTGTTGGATATACTGGAAACAACTGCTCCGAAGGTACAGTAATGATTATAATTTATTATTTACTTGTAATTGAAAAGGAGAGAATTCTCCATTTTATCTAATGCATATACATGTTCTTATGATGTGTAGAAAGTTTGAACTGATTCCAATAAAAGTACTTAGCATGCTTTTTGGGAACTCTGGTACATGTACATGTATGTACATTTTTACATTATACAATGTATATAACTACATTTTACCATTGGTTTTCAATATGACACTATCTTTTTCTTTATTACAGTATTCTCCAGTGATACTCCATACTTCAATGGTGATTCCTATACACTAGTACCATACTCCCCAAATAATAACAACAGTCAATCGCTCATCAACCTTCACTTCAGGACATCATCTCAATCCGGCCTACTCTTATACATATCCGAAGAAGACCATTCAAGCTACCTTTCGCTTGGAATTGAGGCTGGCCTCCTTTCTTTGAGGATGAGACAAGAAGGATCCTTTATCCAGTCGGTAGCAAGGTATCATCCTGTCTCTGACGATCGCTGGCATTATGTCGAGGTGACTCAAAATGGCCTCGAAATTAAAACTGAAATTGATGGCTACCCCAATTCAACCTCTCTAATAGATATGTTCCTAATCTTTGAACCTGCTGTTACTTATATTGGCGGTTTTGATAATTATACTTCTCTTCCTTCGGCTGTGCTACAATCCTCTGGATTCATTGGCTACATCAATGCTACCATACAATTGGGAGGAGAGGCTTTGCATATCATTGATGATTCTATTGCTGGTAGAGATATTGCTCATGGAGAGGCTGCTGGTTCCTGTGGTCCTGAAACTTGCAGTAATGGAGGAATATGTGTGGAGGAGAGTCAGTCGTCTTTCTTATGTCTTTGTCCTATTGGGTTTAGAGGAGATACTTGTGAACAAGGTCAGTTTATTGTATATCTCTATACAATGTACATGTACATGTAGTTCAATCGCTTTCTCTTTTATTGTCTCTCTTTGCCTTGGCATTCATTTTTTACTAAAAATTGCAATTTGTTAATTAGTAAATGAAACTTAACATTTGTACATGTAGCTTTAAATTTTGTGAAACGTACTAGTGTACCATATAGCCACTTAATTTCGAGGGTACAACTTTCGCTGTTTTCGCGGACTTTCCGTATTCGCAAAAGTTAATTCCGTAAAATTATCCGTATTGCCCATAAACATGTGTGCTTTAAAACAAGAACCGCGATAGTTAATTCACAAAAAAGACTTGTGGCCTGATTCGCAAAAGTTTATTGCCTCGAAACTTTGTGGCTATACGGTATACTGTACAAAATTTTCATTAACTAACTACATGTATTTAGAATGTAACATGTATATGACTTTCATGTATTTTTATTGTTATTATTTTTAGATACTGAAATCATTGTCCCATACTTCAACACAAGATCCTATGCCATTGTCTCTAATGATGCCTTCTCATTGTACGGTGGTATTGATATTGACATTACCCTTCACACCAGTTCACCCAATGGCCTCATATACTACCTCTATGACTCCACCAATGTCACTAATGACTACTTTACCCTCTACCTGGAAGAAGGAGGTATCGGTATTGAGTACAGTATGGAGGGTAGTGCTCACATTGTCTCCTATCAAGGAAACGTTAGTGATAATGAATGGCATTTGATGACAGTCCAGCTCAATACAAGTGGATTATACCTAATACTGGATGGGTCATTGGTGCTCTATAGCAATAATGCCACATTGAGCTCTATATATCTTACCTCACCATTATTCTTAGGAGGCCTGCCTAATGGTTTAATAGCTGATAGTGTCAGTGGGTCAGGACTCAACGGTTGCATACGTGACGTTCAAATTAGTAACACGTCTCTGGGTCTCATTGAAAATAATGTATTATATGGATTGGGTCTATTGGAGTGCCCACAGTCCCTATGTCCATTAGTCCAGTGTCTCAATGGTGGTACTTGTGTGGATAGTGATGTGTCTGTGTTTGGGTTTGAGTGTTCATGTCCTTCTGGTTACAACGGGACATATTGTGAAGTCCTGCTCTCTACCTGTATTCCTAATCCTTGTCTCTTTGATGGAGTTTGTACTGATTTTAATAACATGACTTACTCTTGTCAGTGCACTTTGGGTAGACAAGGAAGAATCTGTGATGAAGGTACAAAATACATACATGTAATAATGTTTTTAAATTTTGATTATAACTTGTAACTTTTCACATTTTTTCTCTCTTTGTCTCTTTCCTGTCTTCTTGTCTTCTCTACCTCCTTCTCTCTCTCTCCCTCCCTTTTTCTCCCTCTCCCTCTCTCTCTTTCTCTCTCTTTCTCTCTCTCCTTTTCTCTTATTCCAGAGCTCAACATTACAGTCCCTGCATTCTATGGTAACTCATACCTTGCCTATAGCTCACTATCCAGTATAACCAATGTACAGAGTAACCTGATACTCTCTCTAACATTCAAACCAACCTCACCCTCTGGGCTATTACTATTCAATGGACACAGTAACACTGATTTTTCTCAATATGTATCCATCTCGCTCGTTAACTCTTCCGTAGTGTACAAGTTTGATTTAGGATCTGGTCTTGCCACGATATCCTCTCCAATAACACTGGGTCTGAATCAGTGGCATACCATTACCGCTTATCGAACTGGTAGGGTTGGTTTTCTACGAGTAAATGACGAGGAATTATTGACCAATACTTCTCTTGGTACACTGAATGGGTTGAACATAGCCGGTGACATGTGGTTGGGTGGAACTGATAGGTTTAATATAATATCACAGCATGCTGGAGTAGGTACTGGATTGACTGGTTGTATTAGCAGTGTTAGTGTCAATGGTATATCCATTAATCTGGTGTCTAGTGCGGAGAGAGGTCTTAACATTGGAGAATGTAACATGACGTCTTGTTCCAGTTTCCCATGCTTTAATGGCGGGACTTGTACTGAGACTGGGTCTAGTTTTATTTGTCAGTGTCCGGCTGGCTATGAAGGAGGATTGTGTGGTTTGCAAACTTTCTCTTGTCTTTCTAGTCCCTGTGGCAATGGTGGGACTTGTATTGAAGGAGTGGCCGAAGGAGGTTATAATTGTCTGTGTCCTCTTGGATTTGGTGGCAATAATTGCAATGAAAGTAAGTACAATGACCTTATGGTATCAGTGACTTTTATATTTAAATTGTTATATTGCATTTTGCCAAAAATGAAAAGTAGAGAATTCTCCATTTTTATATTTTTTCCTGTTACATATACATGTTTTTATGTTGCATGGAAAGTTTGAGCTGATTCTGATTAAATTTGGATTATTTGTGAATTTTTAAAGCTGTTCCAAAATCGGACCAAAGTCCCTGTAGGGATTTTAGCCAAATTTTGCCAAAAATGAAAAGCAGAGAATTCTCCATTTTTATAATTTTTCCTGATACATATGCATGTTTTTATGTTGCATAGAAAGTTTGAATTGATTTCAATTAAATTTGGATTTTTTATGAATTTTTAAAATTGCTCCAAAATTGGGCAAAAGTCCCTGTACTATAGTACAGGGATTTGGCCAAATTTTGCCAAAAATGAAAAGTAGAGAATTCTTCATTTTTATAGCATTTTTTGATACATATACATGCTTTTATGTTGCATAGAAAGTTTGAGCTGATTCCAATCAAATTTAGATTTTTTATGAATTTTTAAAGTTGCTCCAAATGCCATGTACTGTATTGTAGTGCTTGTCAGCTCATGAAGCTCATGCTGTTTAGCTCACTTAACAATATTACTATTACTCACATACAATATACATGTACATGTACATAAATACGTACATTTCTGCATGTATTAATATTACTTTTTGTACATATTAATTGTATCTCTATCTCTGTCATTAGTGCTGCAAGTCAGTACTCCATCATTCAACCGAACCTCCTACCAGGAATATTCTTCTCCTGCTCCGATCTCACTCAGTACCATTATCTCCCTCTCGTTCCATCCCACCTCATCAAATGGGTTGATCCTCTACATTGGTGACGTCTCCACAACTCGTGACTTCCTCTCCCTCTCTCTTGTCAGTGGAAGAATCCAACTACGCTACGACCTTGGCTCCGGCCCAGCCATTATAGCGAGCCCATCCGTTATACCGTTAAACCAGTGGACCAGTGTCACCGTCAATAGAGTAAGGAAAGATGGGGTACTGGTCGTTGACAGTGTCAGTACTAATGGTAGTTCACCTGGTTTCGCTGGATTGCTTAATCCTGCCGGTAATTTATACATAGGAGGAGGGGCAGGAGGAGTGGGAGGGTATCAGGTATCACCTAATGCAGGGTCTCATGTGGGTCTCACTGGCTGTGTGGATACTGCTACTCTTAGAGTAAGACCTAATATTCTATTTATTGTATTTATAGTGTTGTTATATACATGCTTTGTGATTAGTTTTAGGTTGCAGAATATAATAATTAGTATTTTTGTGTTAGCATACATGAATACATAGTATAGTAGTTAGTACAGGTTTTCAATTAGTAATGATAATACAGATGGACATAGATTAGGTGGCAAATGACAAATTTATAAGTATGCATGTACTGTACATGTGGACTTACAGCATAAAATATGCTACTGGACACTAAATTTTTTTATCAATTTAATTCCATGTACATGTATGTTTATTATCAATTTATTTACATGTTAATTTCTGTATTATTTTCTCTAGGTCAATAGCTTTGGTTTAGGTGCTGTGATATCAAGCAGAGGTGTCATACAGTGTCAAGTTGATCCCTGCTCTCATTCTCCCTGTCAAAATGGCGGCTCTTGTGTCTCTAGTGATCTCACTTACTCTTGTGTCTGCCCATTGGGTTACTCTGGGGATCAGTGTCAGGAAAGTGAGTGATTAGTTATAATATCTCGTTGACTGTTTTTATTTTATTTTTTTTTTAATTTTTTTCTATTTTTATTTTTTTATTTTTTAAATTATTATTTTATTTGATTTTAGAATTTTGTATACATTTTTTTGTTTTTTATTTCTTTATTTTTGTTTTTTTATTTTTATTTTTTTAATTTTATTTTTTATTATTTTTTATTCTTCTTGTTTTTATTTTTATTAATTTTTCCTTATTTTAATTTTTTTAATTTTTAATTTTTATCATTTAAAAAATTTTTTTAATTTTTGATTTTATTATTCTTTTTTAATTTTTTAAATTTTTTGTTTTTCTTATTTTTAATTTAATTAATTTTTTTATTTTAAAATTATTATTTTATTTGATTTTTAGAATTTTTTTTTATTTTTTTTTGTTTTTTTTTATTTTCTTTTTTTATTATTTTTGTTTTATTTTTTATTTTTCTTGTTTTTATTTTTATTAATTTTTTTATTTTTTATTTATTTTAATTTTTTTAATTTTTTAATTTTTTATTTTATTATTTTTTTAATTTTTTATTTTATTATTTTTTTAATTTTTTATTTTATTATTATTTTATTTTTTATTTTATTATTTTTTTTTAATTTTTAGATTTTTTGTTTTTCTTATTTTTAATTAAATTAATTTTTTTATTTTTGA